CAACACTGAACGTGCGCCGGAACGTGACACTTCCGGACTGGCCATTTGAGTTACGCGGCCGTGATGGTAGAGCTACGCGTTTCGCACACCGTGAGGGCCAGGCCCTCATGTACGAAGCCTCGCGCTTGCTGCACAGTCGGCCAGAGCCCCTCAGAGGAGGTGTGTATGCGGCGGTCTTCATTGGCTTCACTCCTGTCGGCTACCCAAACATTCCGAGCGCGGGCATCGCGACGCGAGTGATCGTCACAAGCGTGATGGGCATGCAGCAGCTTGGCCTAAGGCTCGGAGTGCTCTAGTGTGTATGGATCTCATTGTGCTGTGTGCAGTGGAAGCTGATAAAAAAACACCTGTCCTGTGTGCAGCCCGAATGGCGAATCCCCGAAAAACGCCTTTTTACTGGGCCAATAATATTGAATTGGGCAACGACCGTAAACCGAGGCCGGGGGGTGGTAGAGGACACTCTCCCGAGTCTAGCGAGGCCCCACCTGGCCCGCATCGAAAATCCCATCCTTGATCCTACCACGGGGTAACGACGAGCCGTACGTTTCTCGTTTGAGATATTCCAGCGACACGATCGTTCGGATGCATTTTTTGGGTGTGTTCGGTATTAAAGAATAAACGCCAAGTTATGCCCCATATAGCACCGGGGTGACCGTCCGGACTAATAAGAGTCGACGTACTCGAGGTTTCCGAGCCGCCGCCGCAGCCCCGCTGGCGGCGGCCCGGCCCGCACCACGCCAGCGAGCACGGCGACGTCGTCCCGCTTGCCGCCGTGGAAAGTGTACCTGTTCACGGGTGGCGGCGTGGTGGAGAGACGCCCGACTGGCATACTCGCAGCTCTGGCGCCGAAGGGAGGCGAACACACCCCTCCTGCGCCGCCGCCGCGGCGAAGGGTGTCGGCAGGCCCTCCTACACGACATGTCTACCTCCTCAGCCCTCGCGCAAACTCCGGCGAATGCGTGCTCAACTCTGCCCCTCGCCTCGTCCTCGCGCGCGCCCGTGGCGGCGGCAGCCTCGCCGATGGCGGCGGCGAGCGCGTCGACGGCTTCGCGCGCCGCGGCTTCGTCTGCCGCCTGTAGCTGCGGCACCCTCCGTGCAACCTGCGAGTGTGATGCCCGGCCGGTGAGCACGGAAGATGCTTACTGGAGGCGCCCCGTCGCGCGCG